AGTAAGGCAAAGACGAATGGCACTAGGCTGGCCATATCTGACTTATTAGCCGTCGTCAAGCCGTCCTAGTCAGCCCCGTGATTTGGATACTCGGGTTAATCGATTTTGGTCATTCCTCAGGTAACTCAATTTTAGTTTCTGTTTTAGTACAGAGAGCCTTGGACCTTGTGTAGTGCTTAATGTATACCAGGTAGTTAATGCCTATCTCAGCAACCACATTTGACTTGAGGGGGTGGGGGTGTGAGAAACCCATCTGCATGCCTTTTCTCTTTTTCACATATATTTTCATAGAACATGAAGCCGTTTTCAGCGCCATAACATTGAAACACTAGGGGGGTTTTGGGCTAAGAATACATATTTATGTTGTGAAGGGACAACATCTCCTGTCGTGTGTATTTGTATACAGGCGAATGTCATGTTGTTGATTTAAAATTCAGCATTTCGGCCTGCGGAAGTGATTGGGGATTTTCTTTTAGCGCTCGTAGTTATCGGAGTTTTTTTTTAAATACCCTTTTTCAAAGCAAGCTGGCAACAGCTTGTGTCAAGATATTTTAGACCACACAACAGGCCATTTACCCTGGACAACATCTTTGTTTTTACCAGTTATTGATCATTTAAAAATCATCTGCTTCGTAATAAGCGCAGGCTCGCCTGAATAGCAAAAATGATTTAGTTGCTGGGTCTACACACGTATACACAAAATAGATAACACAATCAGCTCGCAAACGACGAATAATAGCCTAAAACAGCCACTGCCGATAGCTTGTAGAATAATCTTCGAATACGACGTATAATATATGCGGCACGTTGCATCCTTCAAAGCGGTGCTAAGCTCCTGTGCTGATGGCCCCATTTACGTAATTAAAATAAAAAAATGGAGGCAAAAACAGTATGTTATGAGGAACATAGGTCAACCTATTTAACGTTTAATAATATTTCCATAGGAACACAGAGCAGAACAAAAAAGTGAACGCTTAATTTCAAAAGCCCACCGCATATTTGTATGTTCAAGGTAGTGCCTTATAATAAACCCAGTCAGGGTACGCCATTACGTACGTAGGGCCCTTTTCTAACTATGCCATACGTTGAAGGTGTATTTCACTGTCCTCATGCGAAATCATGCTTCTTCTTTCTGAAATGCTACTAGTTGATGTTGTTATCCTCAAATACCGGCATCCCCTTTTTTGCCATCACAGCCGATTCAGTAATAACCACGAAATGACCATATTTTTCTCTATTTTAATCAAAGGCAGATGATTTTGCGGTATTTATTCTTTCCTTTTCGTCTTTCCTTTCAGCCGTGGCGGTGCGGAGGCCGTAAGACAGGAGCTGGAGCTTGAGATGATGAGGATTGCCGAACGCAATCTTGGAAGGGATGATAGGTACGTTTGAACTCTTCTTGCATCACGCCAGTCGGCGCAAAGATTACCGCCGGGGGTAGGGAAGAGACTGAAATGGCTATTTCTGGCGTCATCAGTCAGTCTTTACCCAAAATCACTTTTAGGGCGCCCTGGATTTGAACCCGGGAGCGCTGGTCCTTGAGTCGAACGCTTTTAACCATGTGTCCGTTTGTTTTGATGGTGGTGAATGGAAATACTAATTGGAGCGGAATCCCAAGTGTTCCAGACCCAGGGGCTTAGTATATCTGGCAGATGACCCTGCGTTGCCTTAATCGGTACTACTTTAACTATGCATAACAGATTAATGCTCGAGTGCCTTAGTGGGTTCCAGCTTAAAATGCATAGTTTAACGAGACCAGCACGTCCCAATCAGTGGACATAATTCGAGAAATATTTTTTGATTTATGTATGACGGAGAGGAGCCGACAAAAACAAGGGAGACCTGAATGGTCATTTCTGGCTTATTAGTCTCCATCAACTAGTCCTACCCAATCGCAGGCGGGATTCATCCGGAATTCAAAGCCGGAACCTTCGGTAATTTACTGCAACACTCTACCCTTGCATCATTGGATCGTTGCCTTTTGGCTTGCGATCGGGAATAGGATCGAAGTAGGGTACTCACCGATCTATCTGATTAGGTAACATACTCGCCCCGCTGTGCCTGTAAGCTCAATTGAGGGCAACCGCAGTCAGTTGCATAGCGTTTTCTAGCATGTGATGGAGTATAACCGTTAAGAACAAGGGAGACCGAAGTGGCCGTTTGTAGCTTATTCGGCGTCATCAGCCTGTCATATCCAATCTTGGATGTGGCATATCCGGGATGCGAACCCGAGACCTTTTTTCCTTGATTGTATTTATGTATACGTATAGAAGAGGGTAAGACGTTCTCTGGGACCAGGAGTGTATTTTTCCGACGTTTCGAACTCTCCCGGCGTGCTCATTGTCAAGGATTAAAAAACGTACAGATTACAGTGCATTTAGGTCAGTTCCGCCGGGATTGACCTCTGCCCTTGACCTGTGCCCTTGATCTGCTCGCGCAACGCGAGGTAGTCATCAGGAAGCTCGACATGCCTGTTAATTGAGTCCGCGCGTGAATGCCAGGC